TGCATCGCCAGATCGTCAGGCTCATTGTCTTATCTGAATCGCCCTGTATATTTCTCAAAGTAAGCGAAAATAACACATTTTTAGATCTAATAATAAGGAAATGTTAAAAACCTTAGAAATAATTGAGATTTTTATAATTTTTCAGATGTCAAAATTTTTTGACAGATAGAATTTTTAAACATTTTTTTCATATTCCAGGTATCTTACCTTACTTGAAAATTTTCTCTTCACCCTGTATATTAAGGAGTCTTTTTTGAAGTTTAGAAAAGCAGTTTTTTTTAGAAGAATTAGTAAAGCTTTTTTGTTTAAAAGTCTGAGCAGAGTAATTTTAAGAACAAACTAGAAATAACTACGCATTTTAGAGATGATTTTGTATTTTTTTGCCTTGTTTTGACAAAATTTGTAGTGACAGTTTTTTTAACATGTTTTGATAAAAACTCTCGAATTAAATAAGTTTTTAAGCGAAAAATGCTCTGAATTTGTAGAAAAAATCAAAAATAACTCATGACCAAACCAAATTTTATGAATTCTTTTTGCTTTATCAAAATCTCTAGAATTTGATCTTGCTCAGTGAAAAACGGTCTACATTTTTGCAAGCAATAACAAGAAAACGTGAGTAATAACTGAGTTGTTGGGATATTTTTTCTTCGATTTAAAGGTATTTTACGTTTGCTAAACAAGTTTTCGCCACGTGATCTGACCCTTTCATTCGGCTTATCTTCCTTTCTAATAGAGCAGTTATCTGAAATTTTTGCCCGCGATCAAGGACACTACGCATGGCAGATTGCGTTAGGCGAATCTCAGTTCGTAATTAATATTCCCGGGGCAGTACCGAAGCCAAATAGGAACAATGCGATCGTATCTAGACACTATTTCATTGTATCGACATTTCCGTTTTCTTTGGCGTTTCCGGAGGGCAACGAAACTAGTAGCAAAAATTTCACTCGTTTATTAGCAAAATTCAACATTTGCATTTACACTCGCATCGGTATTTGACACCATCTGCCGTTTGGATCTTCTGGGCCGTCTCTGGAGTGCATTTGCAGTCACAGATGCAATTTTTGCTCTCGCCGGTGCATTCACACCTGCATTCGCACTCAAACTCTCCTTCGTCGGTCCTCAAAACGCATTGTTTGACCACTTTGTGCGTGTCAGGAGCTGGAAAAATCGTTGATTGAAAGGAGTAAACAAGAGTTGCTTACCAATTTTGCAGCATGCAGTGCTTGCCATAGTGTGGGTTAACCTACTCCTACTTATCACAAGGAAGTAAATGAATGGATTATGTGTTGCCTGACGCGATTTTTATACGAGTTTGTAAGCCCACGGCACCACAGATGTATGAACCATCCGTGTGCATAAATCAGACCGTGTGCATTTTTGCACAAGGATTGAAAAGCGGTTTTTTCCGTTGTGTTGCAAGAAATAATTTGATTGACATTATGGGATAATAAGGTTTCTGGACATTATCATTAGTACCATGTAAAGGTTTGCACACCTACGACTGCTATTTAGCGCAGGAAAGTTCTCGAAAGCTGGTGAGAAAGATTTTTTAACTTTACGACATGGAGGATTTTTTCCAATTTAAAAAGTAACTTCTCATAATTACCTGTTTACCATTCACCGTGAGTCGTGGGCAATTAGCTGTCGTTTTAAAATTACTCTAAAAATTTAACTAAAAGTAAATTTAATCATCAAGTAAAACACAGTTACTGTAAAAAATTGCTCATTCAATAGTTTYAAACAATGAATCTGCATTCCTTAATGAACAAGTGATGAATCAGACTCCAATTAAGTATTCTTATTAGAGTAGGGACTTGATGATGAATACTGATGGCTTGCTATAATTTATTTGAATGAGTGAGTGGATCATTAAATTTGCGTTTTATTTTTTTTTGAAACTTTGTTATTTTGGTTTGAGTATTTTTATTTTTGATAAATATAATCCATCTGTTTTTTTTTTCACTTTTTATCACTAATATAAGTATAAACTGTGTGTAATGTGTTTTGATGGAAAGTTTTTTATAATTTTCTCTCGTTCGTTGTTTTGTTGAATTTTTTTAAGTCGCTTGTCTTGTAGGATTTGTTTTCTTCGTAGAGAAATCACTTAGTCGCTTTTGTTCTCATTTTGATTTCGCAAAGATAAGATTCATAATAATGTGAAGCAATTACTTTAGACAGTTTTAGAATTATTATTAGTACAAATTTTTATTCATAATAAATTGCTTATTTTGCGAGTGTGTTGACTTCTTATCACTCTTTATTATTTAGTAGAGATTAAAAAGTTATCTAATAAACACCCTGTAGGTTGAGATAATTTGTTCACAAATTTAAATTTATGCAATTTTTAATCTATTTAGAATGTTGTTTTATGAGAAAATAACTATATTCAAATTATTTTGTCAAAATAAAGCAAACAATTACTAAAATAAATATATTATTAGGTCTGAAACGCATTTTTTTCGACAAAATTTAGCGTTTTTATTTAGTAGAGATTAAAAAGTTATCTAATAAACACCCTGTAGGTTGAGATAATTTGTTCACA